ACCCGACTCCCTACTGTTAGGGGTGGAGGGCGCAAAAAGGCGGCTCAGACAATCGCAGGAGGCGGCTGTTTGGCGAGGCGGGGACTGCGGTATTGTCCGGGGTCTCCGTGGGACGTGCCGCTTCCGCCGGCTCCGGTTCCCGCGCCACCGCCCCGAGGGACGGACTGGGGAGGCAGTGGGGAGGCAGTGACTGTGAGACCCGGGGGAGGCAGCGCCTGTGACGCCCAGGGGAGGCAGTGGGAAGGTACTGTGACGCCCAGGGGAGACAGTATGTGACAGACCTGACAGGAACGTGATGTGGTGGCCCAGAGCTGGGATGGCATTGACGCGCAGTGCACAATCCTGATAACGGTAAAGCGTCAGGAATCATCAGAAACTGCCAGGTGCTGATGGTGTTGAAAACGTGTTCAAGCCAGACTTGGGAAAACAAGGTGACACAAATCAAAATATCCGGCTCATCTGTGTTTTGGTATCGACCTTGAACTGTGAAACGGACAGTCTCGTGTAGATCCGACCGTGCCACACTTTGAACGGACGATTATGAATGTGCGGCTGAGCACGCCGGTACGGCCGAGCACGGCCGGGTGTGCCGGCGGCTGCATACCTGACCGAGCACGGCCGGGCCGTGCCGGCGCCGTTCGGCCGTGCTCTGACCACGGTCGGGTCACGGCAGGGTCAGAGGGCACGCGCTCTGCGCCGCGGGGTCGCGTGCCGCGCGCCGTCTGCTGACCCATCAAACGACTCCGATGGGCCTCTAAAAGGCCTCATATGTTATACCACGTCACCGGACATGTATGCGAAATGCTGACCTTGTCCATTGATGGACGCTTTGGAGGTTTATTTTCAGAACCCTGATTCATGCTTACGCACAATTCATTTCAGCACGGTGCAATAGTGGGCCATGAGCCAAGTTCAGCCAGTAAATTGTTCGGTCTGAAAGTTAGTGCGCTCACGAACTAACATATTAAACAACCTACAGTTGACAGTATAACGAGTCCAAATAAATCTCGTTGAATGCACTGACCTAGTTTGAAATGACTCGGACAGAGTAGGACATATTTATACGGCATATATTTCACTACCAATGCAAATAACCACACATGTGCTACGTTCTCCATCACGGCTATATTCTCCATCGCGGCTACCGGCTACACGGAACCGTACCACCCACGAATCTATGGCTCGTCCAACGCTCATCTTCCAGATTACGACCGTCCAAATCAGAACGACCTAGGTCGATCGCCAGTAGCATCATTCAGCCGTCTCAGTGGCTGCACCAGATATTGCAGCAGTAGCAGGCGTCAGTCCCTAACCTCAGCGGCGCACGCACAGCCCCTCCGCACGCGTCCGCCGCTAACGAGGGCTATTTGACCGCGTCGCTCGAGCGCTGCCGAGTGTGCCGATCGCACGAGCCGGGGGCGCCGGGGTCACCTTGGGCCCTCCGGCGCTGTGCGGGTCAGTGTCCCGACCAGGACAGCCGCTCAGAACACGAGAGGGACATAAAAGTCATAGCTGCGCTTTGGTAAAGGCAGGGAAACTTGTAATACGTCGGGGATGGACGCCGGCTCAATTTTGCTACGTCAAAGCCGCAGTAAAACGTCATTCCACTATCAAAATTCGGAAATGCAATACTATTTCAATATCATCCTGCAAGTAATTGAAAACTGCAAGTAACTATTTCATAAAATCCTAAGCACATCAATAAAATTTCATACCATTTAAAAAGCGCCTTACAATAATGCCAAGCTCACTGGACCCCGCACCACTGCGTTAGCCCGGAAGTCCCATGCGTCAATTGAGCTAATGTCGTCAGCGGCCTGGCCGGCGAGCAGGTGGTCGGCGCGGCTCTGGACCGCTCGCTCCGGCTTGTTGGGCTGGTTGTGGAAGATGGAGTGGGGAGCACATCCGTCAGTGGCGGACCGCTCTGCGTCCGGACAGCCGTGAAACGGGCCGTGTTCCGCCGGCGGAGGGCGGGTGTTCCGTCGGAGGACGGCGGAGGGCCGCGGGTCGGTGGTCCGAGCGGAGGGTGGGCGTTCGGCTAGCGGAGGGAGGAGGGCGGAGGGCGGGGAGTCGGTGGTGGGGGGTGCCGGAGGGCCGGTGGTTGAGGGTGCAGATGTCAGGAACGGTGCCGCGGGAAACACAGAAAACTCTGTTCAGAGCAGATGATGATGGCGGAGCTTAGCGTCAGTCAGAGCCAGAGCTCTCCGGGCCGATAGAGAAGTGCGAGAGAAGCTTTTTGGACGTCTCTTGTTGAAAGAGAAGGCTGAATCACGGTCGCGCTGCATATGGAATGATAATGTATCTTATAACAACCTTCAAAATTGTAAATGTACATTCATATTTAACGTATACATTTCTATGTCATAGTGTCATCTCTGCGAACGCTTATGTAACAGCTCCAAATGCTTGTTCGATGGTGGGGCATTTAAATGTGCTCTGAATAGTAGCGCGCATCATTTGCTACGCATAATATATTCAAATGCCAATGACGGTAGTCGATTTAAACGCACAGTCCTGCGCCTGAAGCATATTTACGGCGAAAACCGATGCCGTTACGGAGGTCTGAGCTAATGATCATTTAAATCAACACGCTAATGGCCGTGACGCCTGTGTTTACCCAGTCGAGCTGGGGATGACTAACCCTCCGGTACAACAATAATTAACAGTCGTTAGTGGCTGAGCGCTGTATAAAAAACATCGGTCAAAAGGAATACCTAACGTTACCTCAACCATTTCGACACGTATTTTGTGTAGACTTCTTTCTTCTAGATTTCTGAGCGACCACAGAAGCTCTGAGCGGTTGGACCTCGTTGTGCTGTTGGAGCCTGCAGTGGGTATGATTTCACTCCTCTCTTCTCGCGCCGTCACGACCTGCATTACATGCAGTCAGACGCTCTCAATTGGCCAAGGCCGCCGATCGCGCTGGCCCGGGCGGGGTGCCGAGCTCTGACCTCATTTGGTACCACGCTGCACTGCTGACAATTGGTCCGCATCATGAAATTATACCCTGCACACTGTGCAGTGTGCACATCACTCCCTGAGAGCGGCCAGCGTGACATACCCGCACCGAGTCTGCCAGTCAGGGTGGCATGACTGCTGCAGCACGGCTTGGGCGGGCGTGTGAACGATGGTCCTCTGATACGATATTGTTGAGCGATGTTTGCTATCATGGTCGTCACTCGTCTCATAAAAGTGCAAAGCCTGTTTTCCGGTAAAAGATATTATCATAACAGTTAAATACGGATCTGATTATTCATATTTCGCTATTCCTTTGATAGCATTACCACCTTATTTTCAAGCATCATGTCATCCAGGAGAAGAAAAAAGCGCCACGGATCTGCAGTCTCTTCCCCATCACCAGTGGGCATCGGTAGTCGGTACCGAACCGCCAGTGAGCCCAGCTCTGCCACCGATCATCACCAACATCTCCGGTCTGACGGCGGGCTAAATCGGGCCGCCCGACGGACATTCCGGGGCCGATTAGCGCGCCGAATACCTGCCGCCCGGAGTCGAGCGGTCCGGGGGGGGGGGGGGGTCCGGAATACCTGGCGCCAGAGACAACATTCGCCGGAAACTGCAGCCGTTCTAGCGGTAGCGTCCATGTAAGAAAAGATGGATGCAGTTTTACTAACGCTGCAACACAACAAACAGGTTGACAACAAAAGAAATAAGTATTTAAATCCACTACAAGACCAAGTACCAACGCTGTTTCCAATAACTGCTATATCTTCCCCCTCACCTTTCTCGGAAACCAGAAGGCATCAATCTGAGGTTTGGCTTATGTCTGCACTTCATCTCTCTAACTCAAGCTATTATCCGATGCTTTAAACAATAAAGACCCTCGATTACAGTGATTTATCTGACCACGTGAATCAATTACCGACAAACCAGTCGCTGGTCTCGCCAAATGACGCCATCATCCAGCGATGTCTGTAAATACCTTCGATAGCTCTCAGTGCTCATGGCCTCTTCTCTCCGCGGGCGTTTCTTCGTTACCTGTCCGGACGGAACGCGAAGCGTGCCACGACCGACAGATTCAGCCACCGTGACGGCGGCCCTTTGATCCCGGCCAATTGTCTCATCCGTCCGTCCGTCCATCCGTCCATCCGTCCGCGTGCCGTCCGGGCACTGAGGCAGCGCGCGGCTGTCTCCGTGTGTCCGGCGCTGTCTCCTCCGTGCCGGTCGGCCGGGCGAGTCGGTCTGATTGGACAGCGGACAAAAACACCTGTTTGGGAGAGGCACCGTGTGATTGCGCGCGAGTCGCCACTGTGTCGACGGCCGCGCCGGCCCCGGTCCGCGCCGGGCCATTGTCTGTCAGGGACCGACAGACTCGCTGGACACGGACGGCGCTCGTTAGCTGACTGGAGACAGTTTGTGACGGCGACCCTTGTCTTCTTTTATCTGTCGATTTCTAAGTTTTCTTATGGTGGGGATGCGCTATCCATCAAACACAATCCAAGTAGACATGAAAAACTTCCCTGGCATTACATGCACACTAGAATTCTGCAGCATCCACTTCTCCTGCTGAGTTAAGAATAAAAATAGAACTAGCAGCAGCTGAATGCCGATTCCTAAGTTTGACATACGGTTTTTGTAAGGTAACCTTTGTAAGTGAGCGGGATAGACGGCCACCTCAGTGGCAGGCGCTCGTGTTCAGTGGTCGGCGTCTTGCACTTGTGACAATGCAATGAACCGAAAAAAATGGGAGCACGCGTCACCATTCCAAACACCTTTGTAAGACTCGTCTCTACATTTTCCTGGACAGTGAGCGACGGAACGGGCGTAAAAGTTGTCCTTTTAGCATGTCTTCATGAAAATCCTGCTGTAGAAGGCAAATGATTTAAAGCAATGTGGGTTCACTCTCAGGGTTGGCAGCATTTGAACTGGCATTTCTTTTAGCCGGTTTTTGAATAGTGTTATCAGACATGACTCTTCTAACTGCTCTGCTTCATGACGACATTCCGTTCTGCGTCTAACCGAGGACTGTTTTCTGTTTTTAGGATGTGTGGCCGACTACGACTACATCTACGACGAGGAGAGCCAGGATGAGGAGGAGCTCACGCACGTGCCGTCCTTCACCAGCGTGCCGCAGAACGTTGACGTCATGAAGGGCGACAGCATCACGCTGCCCTGCCTCGTGGATCAGGGTGAGCCGCTGATAACGAGCCATATGGGCAGTGGCGCGAATCAATCATCATTTTTATTTAAACGTTGAATCTAACACTTATCGTGCTCGGTCAGTAGTATTGCAATTTGTGTTTCCTCACCGGAGTGCCAGCACCCAGCACGAATGAAAAGATCAAACAAACCCATTCTCACCGACACTGGTATTTTCGAAATGTTTTGATCCAAAGCTGACTTTTATCCAACCTTCGTACTTCTTTCAGCTGGCCCCACCATTATATGGAAGTCAATACTGGAGGACGGCAACGAGCGCGTCTACTTCATGGCCAACATCCCGATGACCAAGGACGACCGGTTTAAGCTGGAGCAGACTGGTGACAAGGGTAGCAGTCTGGTCATCAGCCGACTGCAGCCGGGCGAGAGTGGAGCCTACATCTGCCAGGTCTCCTCCAACCCGCCCGTCTCGCTGCGGCACACCGTCAACGTCCGATGTAAGTGCACCATTCATTCATTCATTCATTCATTCATTCATTCATTCATTCATTCATTCATTCAGTCATCCACCCATCCATACCGTGCTAAGAGTTAAAACGGCCACCTTTGTTATGCAGATATCATTATAACATGGCTATGATGCCAAAATCATTATAATTTTAAACAATGTATTATAACATGGCGCTAAAATTAAGGCACGTCGGCGCCCGAATTATGACCCTATCCACGATACAAATGCCTCATTTACTTGACAAACTGGTAGTATTGTTTACGAGGGGCGGTTCTCTCAGTATCCCTTGCGTTACTGCACTCGATGCCGTTTTAATGTTCTGTGTAGGCTCCTTGCTGAGCGGCACCAGACGGGACCCAGCCATGACCAGTAGGGTTGTTCAAAAAAACCGAATTTTGGAAAAGTATACGGGCTCATGGCTCATGTGGTGCGTTATTCTTTTCTGAGTCCAATGATGCCCATTTTTCTGAAAAGTATTAACTGTTAGGGGCTCCTCAAACGGCTTAAAGAGGACCATGTTACGCCCGCCGACCGGCCGGTGTCAATAAGGGCGAGAATTCGACGCCGCACACGGGCGGCAGCGCCTTATCGGCACCGCGCGCCACGACATCTGCCGGGCGGCCGGCCGGGTGGTGGGAAGTTATAAGTGCGTGGTCTTTATCACGCGATCGGGGTACGCTATCCCATGTTTTCGGGGCGGACAGTTTCAGTGCAGCATCGGTGCGTCTGCCACGGTGGTCTGTGTCGATGGTACAGAAAATAACTCAAACAGAGCTCAGAAAAGACTGAATGATTCCGGTTAGTTGCCTCCAAACAATCCATTTCAAGAATACATTTGCCTTCTTAACGTACCGTATCACTTGTTAATTCTTTAAAAAGCAAACTCTGAGCAATAGCAGACTTCTTTGCATTGCTGTTGACAATTCACGTTACTTTTGGACGGTGGCTCGCACCCCCAATATGCTGCCACGCATCTTAAATCTAACGGCGAAACGCGCAACTGTGCGAGAATCGAAAATTCACGATTTACGTACAGCAAGAGCTGGCAATGCACAAGAACAGAATATGGAGACCCGGAAGTCATCGGTCCAAGTTTGGGGGTGGGTTTGACGAGCATGGGCGTCATCAATGTCATTATGCAGATACGTTGATGTCAAATGCTGGAGCAACAGAATCGACGCCAGGTTTAACTTAGATTAGCAGGCCGAAATAAAACATAGCATGTCCGGGAATGACAGGGTGGCCACCCTGACAGTGTGACGAAGTGAGACATGAGTAGAGACATTAGCCGGAGTACCTATAAAGCGCCGTTTATCCAATCCTTCGAGCATAAGCGACGCCGGCAGTCCGGCCAGGGCGGCCGTGCCCACCGATGCCGATCAAGACCCGAATCCAGACCCGGCATAGAACAGAGCTCTGCCCTGACGTGACACATTACCCCGGTGTGTCACTCATGACGGATAGACCAATGCAGGAGCCTTGCCAGCTCCTGTTGTACCTACTTCGTTAAATTTTCGATTCTCGCTAAGTTGCCGTTTCGTCGTTGGAATAGAGTTACGCGGCAGCATATTGGAGCTGCAAGCCACCGTCCAAAAGCAACTTAAATTGTCAACAGCAATGCAAAGAAGTCTGTTATTGCTCAGAGCTTGCTTTTTGACGAATTAAAAAGTGATACAGTACGTTAAGAAGGCAGCTGTATTCTTGAAATGGATTGTTTCGAGGCAACTATCCGGAATCATTCAGTCTTTTCTGAGCTCTGTTTGAGTTATTTTCTGTACCATCGACACAGACCACCGTGGCAGACGCACCGATGCTGCACTGAAACTTTCCGCCCCGAAAACATGGGATAGCTCACCCCGATCGTGTGCAAGAAGACCACGCGCTTGTAACTTCCCACTGCCCAGCCGGCCGCCCGGCAGATGCCGTTGCGCGCGGTGCCGATAAGGCGCTGCCGCCGGCGCGCGGCGTCGAGTTCTCGCCCTTATTGACACCGGCCGGTCGGCGGGCGTAACATGGTCCTCTTTAAGCCGTTTGAGCAGCGCCTAGCAGTAATACTTTTCGGAAAAAAGGGTATCATTGGACTCAGAAAAGAATACTGCACCACATGAGCCATGAGCCCATATACTTTTCCAAAAATCGGTTTTTTTGAACAACCCTAATGACCAGTTCTGTCTGACCGCGGTACGCCGTATGACGGCTGTGTTTCTGCTCTGTCCCACCAGATCCTCCCATGGTGAAGGCTTCTCCTGAGGACGGGGTGCTGGTGGCGCGACAGGGCACGACCGCCTCCATGGCGTGCACGGCCTCCGGGAACCCCACACCGACCGTCACCTGGACCAAGAAGGTGGGCTTGGACTCTCCCAGCTGCACACACAGTCCATGGAGTGTGTGATGTACAGACATCTGACAGGCTAGTTCGCCTTTTTCTGGATTGAGAGGAATTGCTCACTACGAGCTACGAGCAGGTGTATTTACCTCAGCCCCACAGTACCCGAAGAGGAGAGGACGATTATCATATGGCACCGATTACCACCCTCTAAATAAATACAAATGCATGCTGCCGCGTCCCAGCCCGCTCTCTTCTTTGTGCCTTGGAATCGTCGCTGGCAGTGTTCCCCCACGTCCGGTCGCTTCGGTCATAAACCTGGCCAGGGTTGGATCGGTTTGGCTATCATTTCGGTCGCCAGCGGGCGTCCCAGGCTGGGGAGTTTGTGCTCTGGTGTTTACCAACGGGGAAGGCCCAACGGGTTGGCTGGCGACCGGATCGGAGGCGACAGGGGACAAAAGGGGCACCACCGCGCCGATCTTATGGCCTTAGATTGACCTAAGCTGACCAGCTACTGTGACTCGAGTGTCACCTGTGACCGTTGGGACACAATTGTGACCAAAATGTGACCTTCGCCCAACTGTGATAAGACCCAAGTCCAACTGTGACCAAACTGTAACCCACTGTGACCTGAATGTGACCCGAATGCGACCCGAATGTGACCTTTCCCAGGGCGGCCTGCTGCCGGGCGGCAAGAAGAAGATGGAGGGCGCCAAGGTGGCTATCGACAAGGTGGAGCGCGCCCACATGGGCACCTACATGTGCACCGTCGATAACGGAGTCGGCGACGCCGTGGTCAAAACCTTCCGGCTGGAGATCAACTGTAAGTGATCCGAATAGTTGCGTGGGGCTTCACGGCAGGTAGTTCGAGTATATGGTACCACTTGTAGGTGGTCAAGGAGAGAAAACTTAGACAAAAAGCGCTCCATTAGAAGGATGAAGAATAACCTGTTGCTCATTTCTATCAGAAATAGAAAAATAAACCATTTTATATTTCTGATCGAAACGAGCAACAGGCTATTCTTCATCCTTCTAATAATCTTATTAACAATGCTCAACACAACGTTCAAATACGCAAAAAGCGTTCCATTAATTCATGGACACAATGACCCTTCCGAACAATTTAACATACATAAACGTTTCGGCTTGTAAGACTTCCAAATTGCCACCTGTACACTAAATAGTCCGCTAAAATTTAGGGCACATATTTTTAATGTTACGTTCGCTCACTTGTAGCAATGGACACATTCGACGAAAATTATCCGATAAATTGTAGACCAAATCGCCGAGAAATATTCATATCCTGCCGTGACGACAACCTCGCGGTAAATCACCTGGATTGGAATCTATCCGCTGAGGGTGGGTTCGGCGTTACCAATTACCCTGTCGGCGAACCTGCCCACGAAACACGCCACAGTCGAGTGAAAGGTGTGTAACCGCCCCCACCGGCACCCCTGAGGACCCTCCAGACGCAAAAACAATCGTCATACCCTGTGTGGTCCCGACACTCGCGCAGTCATTGCCATTCAGGCATTCCGAGGATTTCGGCCCAAACCTGCCCCCGAAGTTGGACAGCACGGCTATAGCTAATCACCTTAGATGGTAGTCGAGACGGACCCGGCTCGATTCGTGTGATCGTTACCAGCAACGTAAACAAGCTGCTGTCGCGTCTACTCGCGCTAAAATATTGGCCCTCCAGGGCTGATGAATTTCAAATTAACACAAAAACAGACGCCCATATGGAGGTGGTCCGTTTTTCCCTGTTTGTCCCGTCGGAATGGAGCGCGCTTTGACAAAAACAAAAGGTCTGCACCGCCGCCGGCGCCGAGGGAGAGCCAGTATTGGTGGAAATTCGCTGTAGTGCTCCACGAAATGTTTTTATTAGATTTAAAAAGTAATGGATTTAGAATAAGAATTGCTAGGCAGTCATACCCAAGTCTCTGTTACGATATTGTAATGTCATGAATGCGCAGTTAAGTATTTATATCCTTAGTGCTGTTTGTCACGAGATACGTATATTGCTTGACATTTTGAAAGACTTGTATTGTGAATCAGTCTATAAGGACTTATTGTATAAAACATTGCATCAAGTACACGTGCCCTGCCCATGAGAGAACTCGCCTCCCGTCTGACGTCTGTTTTGAATTCTCCACGCAGTACCTGTTTCCAAAAGTCCCCAGCCCACAAAGCCTACACGGCTATCGCTCGGCCATCCGGTCCGTCGCCAATACCGAATTCCGGCACGCTGTCCGGCATTCCACGGCGCGGCGAGTCGCCGGGCACCCTGTTGTGACAATGTCGCCGCTTGGGACCCGTGTGCGCCGCGGGCGCCGCGGCATGCGTTCGCGGCGCGGTGCGCCATGTCTGTCTGACCCGCGCCGTGTTTGCCGCAGCGCCGCCGGAGATTGAGGCGGTGACCAAGGTGCACACCGGGGCCGGATACGAGGCACAGCTGATCTGCACCGTGCACGGACAACCCCTGCCGACCGTGAGTATAGTCCGACGGGGACCGGACACCGGGGAATGAATGGGGAGTGGGGAATAAACATAGGGAATACCGGGCAGCCTCTGCTGGGTTTGGGTATATAGAAATACTGCTCGACAGGTAACCGACAACGAGGAATGAGTGAGGGACGTCCCTATCCACTCCTTCCATCCCCAGCCAATCAGGCCTGTAAGAGTTAATTTCTCGCTCTGTCGCCCGACTCCGCCCCGGTATCGCGCCTTCTCCCTCGGGGTGACAGTCGGCGTGCTGCCGACCGGAGTCCGGCCGTGCGTGACAGAGAGGTTTGTTTGCCGCGCTCACGACACTTGACGACGCAGTGAGACAGTGAGACAGTGAGACAGCGAGACAGTAGCCCCGTTTACATAGGAGTTGCCAGATTCACATGCCAGCTCGATCTACTTTCAGGTGTTCGGCCTCCGCCATGTCGACAAATGCTGCGCAGCAAACACAAAATCTAGAAATGTGGTAATGGAGTTCTGGCCACCAAATAGAAAAAGCCTGCCAAGTTTATGATGCTCTTCATGTTATGTAGTTTTGATAATAAACGACGCATGGGCTTCAAATGAATTGTACGTCGTACATTTGGGCATCATATGAGTGGAATATTGCAAAGTTTTTACCCAACATTTAAGCATAAGACTAAGTTGTTTCCATGAAAGCGATGAAAATAAAGCTGATTGTTGAGTTCGATGCACTCCTTGCAGCTTATATTTAGTGGATTGCATTTATTCATATTCTGCATTCATTTATAGAAAGATCAAATATGTAACACCCCTTTTCCCGCTTACCTTCAACCTCTGAGCAGTGACATTTTCTTGATCGATTCAAAAGGCATGGAAACACCAAGCAGAAACTGAGTGCGTAAGATATTTGGTAGCAAGTATCACATACGCTCTAAATGACTTTCTAAGCAGATTCGAGAGTCAGTAATTACCTATTTAATCACGTTGCACTCATTCATCAAGTCAAACAAATACCTAAACCGATTGGTAGCGTCATCTAGGCGATCATAAGTGCCAAACTGCTAGTTGAAGACTTCTATTATAGATGGCACTGCTAGACAAGCCAGAGCATATGCCAGAGGATTTTACCACCGCCGTGAAAAATTCCTAACCAAAGGCGCACTCCGGTCCCCTCAACATAAAACTCCCGATATTTCTCTGACCAATCAGAGTAAGCCTTGCTCGGCGCTGATTTGCTAATCAGAAAATGACGTCATTAGGGAGCCACGGCGTTCAAGCTATTTTGTAGCGGTTCAGGTGATCCACTTAGAAGTCATATTTTGATGTTTTTAGAAAAGTCTGATGAATCCTTTTATATTTTCAGAAAAGAACCCTTAATGCTGTTGTTGATAAACCCAACTTCGCTATTTTTGCCAATAGTAATAAGACAGGAAATAATCTGTTGGTGGGTCTTCACGCTAAATCTACCACCCCCAACTACGTCATCATCGTTCCTAAGCATGCTGTACTTGGTCATAACTTCGTTGCCCAGCACTAGTTAGCCTTGATTTCCACCAATCAGAAAGCAGAGCTGTCTGCCGAGAGACAGCAGTACTCGATATTAGTGGTGGGCCAAATACTTGTTTTCTAAGATGTTTTTCTTTACAGCCTTTTATATCTTACTTTTGTTTATATTATATATCGCTTTATATTTTGTTTTTGTAAGGAATATCTGCATATATTGTGATTTATATAGCTTGATTTAGCTAATATGGCAAAGTGTTTACGAAGGGGTGCAGGGAGATATGGCAGCAGATATGGTGCTTGCAAGTAGTCTTTGTACGCATGAAATAGTACCCTTTTTTCGAGCCGAAAATAACCTATTTATTGCAATTTATTGATGTATCATGCCTGAATTCCGAAAAAGTGCTCCTCGTAGCACTGAATACAGTCACTTGTGTAGTTGCAAAAGGTCACTGGCCAGTTTTGTGATATCTCTAGGCCAGCTAGGGAAATGTCTAAATGCTATGTAAACAGAGTTAGTGAGGCAGTGACTGCCTCTGACCAGTCACGGAGGAGCGGCGGGTGAAGGAGGAATCCCAGCCGTGGTGGCACTGAGTGGAGAAGGGGAAGACGAGGCCAGAGTGAAGATGAATGGGTAATTGAGGAATTGAAACGAGAGAGAATGGAGACGGATATGATTTGGCAACGGAGACAAATTGGAAACGAAACGGCTTGTTGATAGTCATCACGTGAAACGCCGGGCGGAACGGAACGGAGGTAGTGATGACAGACAGGTGGTATTTAACTATTTTGAGGAAGTGGACCGGTGTCAATCCCGACCTCCTGGACTGCTCTCCGATACCGTTTGACGGGCGCGGCGCCGAACCGCTCAACTTTCCAAACCAGCGCCCGACGAGCTGTCAGAAAAACTCTGAAAGGAGTCGGCGGCCGGCCGCCGTTTCACACCGCAGGCGCCGCCGGTGACGGCTGGATGACTCCGCTACGGCCGTCGGTGACGGCGTCATAACATTATACAATCGCCGGCGAGCGGCGCGGTACAAACCGGATACCACCCACGCTTCGGTGGACAACACATAATCCCTTCAAATCCAGCACACCGTGCTCAAAACTCCTGTGCAAACTTGCAAGGCTTAGGGTTTCTTTCTTAGACCTGCGCATTTCCTACTATGGAGTGACGACGACGTGCAGCTCAAGCCTGAGTCATAGCAAAAGGCCAATGATCATACTCAGCCAATCAGCAGTTCACTTCGTTACTGGGAACGTGTGGGGTGTGGACGGAGTACCTCCCACAAAAATACCACCCGTCCTTTTCATTGCGGCTCACTGGTCTGAGATCGTCACGAAAACCGGCGCGTGTCGCCCATCACACCCGCCCACAAAAACGGCGGCTCTGACACGGCCCGAGCGGCCGGTGGAGCGTCATCCCGAGGGCAGCTTTTTGTGACCGGGTAATCACCGGCTAATTGGCCACCAGCGGAATAAGGGCGTGATGACGAGAGTGGCGGCCGGTGGCGGTGACGGCAGCGTGGTCAGACGGGGCCGACGGGTGACGGTCCCGACCGGCCGGTGGCGGACCGAGACACGCTGCACCCCAGTGAGCCCCGCAGTGTCACGCTGCACAGTGCACACCAGGCGGTGCCTACTGTCGGCTTTGCGACCGATGAAAGTGCTGCAGCATAGTCGGCGAGTTGCGCTGTGGGGGGGGGGGGGGCTGCGGGGAGCTGTCGGTGGCGCCATGGCTAGAAGCTTGTCGCGGGGTGAACCATTGACTGACTAGCACCGCCCGAAGGTATATTTAAAGACAAGCCATGGTCTCTCTGCAGGTCACACTGGTCCATACATGACCTGTCTCTCTGCAGGTCAGGCTCGGGTGAAGTGTAATGGCAACTTAGCGGCCCCCGGCTAAGAGTCGTTGGGTGAGGGCAGACAGATGCCGGAGAGAGCGAGAGAGAGGGAGGGAGGGTAGGAGAGAGATAAGCGGAGCGGGCGGGCTGGGGCGGGAGGCCGAGGGGAGCGCGGGATATATCATATAGGACAGTCAAAGACGAGCCAGCGAAGAGGACGGACCGGTCGCGGTATAACGCTTTCGTCCGGCTCGCACACGGTATGACGCCGCGATGGATGTGACCGGCGCGCACGGCCATCCCGTCTCGCCCGTGTACCGCAGCGGCTACATGAACGCCAGCATTGTCATGGAAATGGGCACCAAGATAAGCGGCCGTGTTTTTCTGGGAGCGGCGGACGCCGCTGCGCGCTGACCTCAGCTCGCCGTCCCGTGCCGGGATAATCTCCCCATCCCGCCTTCCGTTGTAACGCACAACGCCAGCCTCCGGAAAACTATGAGGCGGTGCTGCTAGAGGCGACCTCCCGTGACCCCGGCCAGTTGAGCGTTCCCCGGGCGGCCTGGCCGGGCCATTCACAGCCCGGCGGCGCGGCCGGCCTGTCCGGCACGGCCGGCTGTGTGCAGTGTATTACTGGGCGACGGAGGGAGGCCGCGACTGATCGATGCACTGCGGCGCCGGCCGGTAATTGATTCTGGACGCGGAGGCTCGCTGCAGAGCGGCGGTGGGGCGCGGGCCATTGCGCGGCCATTACCACCTCCCGCACGGCGGACCGCCGGCTCTGACCGAGCGGTGCCCGGAGGCTACCGACCCCCGGCGCTCCGCCGCCGCCCGGTGCGCCGTGTGTCGCTATTGTGTCGTCTGAATGCCGCCGGATCGGGCGCGACACGGCCGGGCAGTGTTGCACCACACAGACACATGCAGCGGCGGCCCCTGGCCGGCGGCCGGCCGTCCTTTGTGGCCGGGCCGGGAGGCTGGGGAGGCGCCGCGCCGCGCCGCCCCGGCCTCCGGCAGGCGATGATGAGCCGACCAGGGGGCGATGGTCGATGGTCGATGCATTCGGCGCCGCGCGGCCAGAAGGGCATCAAAACACGGCCCAACAGACCGGGAGGCCCCGATTGCGCCATCATCTCAGCGGGCGGGGCTATCGTTCGGTGAGTTACTGGCGGCGTCTGTTCACTTTCCTCTGCGGTGAAGGCGGGGTATGTGGCACACTGACCGCACCACGTGCCGGACACGAGAGCCAGTAGCCACGAGAGCCATCAACCACAGCCAGGCATGAAGAGTCAGAAACTGGGAGCCGGGCGGTAGCAGTCCTGCCTGTATGACCCCTCCGCCAACAACAGAAGCCAGGAGCACAGAATCATTGGGCGGATGTCACCGACTTCTGTCGAAGAGACAATCGGAGGCGCCGCATTGTCCGTGCGTGACCAATCATCATCAGAGAGGCTAATGGTGCAACATCGGTCCTCGCCGGCGAATAATGGTCCACAATAATCGTGCTTACAAGGACAAACAGCGGCGCAGTAGCGCCTCAGGTTGATTGATTTACAACATGGCCAGGGTAAACGAAAAGACCGGCGGAATATCCCATAGATATAACTGTGTAATGAGTGCAAGGTGGCACCTTCAATCAATCGATTACGAGGGGTGGGCGGCGAGGTCACGCAGGAGTAACTCTGAACGCGGACCGTCAGCCGCCGGCGGAGAAAGGCGTGAGGAGCGGCGGCGGCTGTCTACCGGACAGGGAGCCGTCTGTCTGGTCTGTCAGTCGGACAGGGAGCCTTCTGTCTGGTCTGTCTGGCCGGGTCTGTTCATTCAGGTGCCTGACTGCGTTCGGGCCGGCGGCACCCGTATATGGGAGATTTCAATTAGTGGATACAAAAGCAAACGAAAACGGCGGTTCTGAAATATGCTGCGTGGTGCGACACACTCAATATAGGTTTAGTCGGTCAAGGTGAAAAAATTATAATGGTCACATAAATTCCGGGATCACTCTTCCATGTCGACTTGTAAATCTCCGAATTTCCAGGGCCTCAACTTTTATCAGCTAATCAAACGAGAGCCAGAAATCACATAACAAGGAATCAGAAATTCTGCTGGTGCCAATTGACAACTAGCTCAGCTGCATCACTGTCCCAGTTCGGTCGTCTCCGCTAAGCACTTCCGCCCCGCCCGCGTGCCACCCGCCCGGCTGGTCGGCTCCCGTTTCCGATTGGCTTTGGCGACCCACTCCGGAACCGTTCCGGAGCTCCGGTATTTTTACCTGCTCGCCAATTAGCCGGAATTCGGGCCTCGCAAGCGCCTTGCAAGCTATAACAAAAACGGCGCGGCTCCCGCAGTGCCGCGCCACGCCGCTCCACGTCTCCGTGGCGCCGTTTTTCCCGCGGCGGTACCTTCCGGCGGGACCGTCGGACCGGGGCCGGCGCCCGCCCCGCCCCGCCCCGCCGCCGCGCCGGTCCCGGTTTGTGGGTGGGCTTTTGTTTCGTCTGCGCCCGCCGGCGCCGGCGTTTTTGCCGCGGTGCCGATGGTTTCATTGCCCCGGGCTGCGGCGCGGCGCGCTCGGCCCGGCTCGGCCGCCGCCGCTGCCGGCGCGAATATTTATGGTGCAACGCTGCCAGCTGGCGAGGGGCGCGGTGTCGACCGGTCGGCCGGCCCATCGGCCATGATAAGACGGATGGTCAAATCGACAGGAACTGTGTCGGTACGCCGCTCAGGCGTGCTCCGCGTGCTTAGTACAAATGGCGCTTAGATAGCTATCAAGGATGCAATTAATTTTCCTTCTGGCCTGGGTAAGTTAAAAGATCCTTGCCCTGCCGATTGTCGAGCAGAGGCGACCAGCTCCAGAGACTGAAGCCGGGAGGTAATCACTGCCGGCCGATTATGAGTTACCACGCACAGTAAATGTATTCGCCATTTGGATGTCAGTTTCCGAAATGACACCGCAGCAGATCACCAACTCACCCGACCTAACCTCTCCGCCGCCGAACCAAACGCGACAAGCATCCCTGACAGGTTTGTCAATCCGGACTCTATCCTGGGCCCACTCATCCAGTCATTTGAACCTGATCTTGACCTGCGATACTCTGACTGACTGTCTGACCTCCCCGGCCCGGCGTCAGACTCAGTGCCATCTGACGGCTGACCCGCCCTTCCCCCCCTCAGGTCAGCTGGGCACGGATGGGCGACAAGACCGTGGACAAGATGCGCCACGTGCAGCAGCACGAGGGCGCCCAGTACAGTCTGACCATTGACGAGGTGCGGGACTCGGACCTCGGCCAGTACGTGTGCCGGGCGCGCAACGACTACGGCACGGCCAACGCCGCCATTGAGCTCACAGGTCAGTACAGTGGTCGGGTCACGGGCTGCTTCACGGGTAGGGGAGGTCACGGGTCAGTACAGCGGTCGGGTCACGGGCTGCTTCACGGGTACGGGAGCTCACAGGTCAGTATAGTGGTCGCGTCACGGGCTGCTTCACGGGTACGGGAGGTCACGGGTCAGGTAACGGCAGGGGGAGGTCACGGATCGGGACATTGCACGGTCAGCTTACAATTAAGCTTTGAGCACAGCGAGGCCATGGAATGTGTATCGATTCAGACTTTTTCTTATAGGTACCTAATAAAGGCCGTCCTCTAATTCGCTGGCATTTTCATAGTACCTATAGGCATACTTGTTTCAGTATGTTGAACGTAAGGAACCATGTCATCAAAATCGTTTGCGGCCTTCATTTCACCTGTCCAGACCCCACTGTGACCCCCCTTCCCCCGGTATGACGTCACAGGTCAGCCGAAGGAGGTGCTGATGACGTCACCAGCCCACGGCCGGGAGAAGGACTCGTACACGCTGCGCTGGAACGTCGAGAGCTACGCGCCCATCGAGGAGTACAAGGTCACCTACAAAATCGCCCAGGTACGCACTAGGAACGTACAGCCCCGGGTAGGTGGCTATTCGCGCCCGGGGGTGCGCACTCCGCCGTCCGCGCTAATGGGATAAATAGGGGGTCCGAACGCAAATACCTGCCGCTGTAATTGAGGGGACGGGGGGCGGCGCGCGTGCAGCCACGCGGCGCAGGGGTGTTGTAAGGGTGATTTGGGGTGTCAGTTCGGTAAGACCCTCCAGGTGACGGGTTCAGGGAAACACGCCTGTGACATTATACCATACGGTGGGTGTGCCGGTGTGCCGGTGTGCCGGTCAATCCACCTAACACTGCGTTCCATGGCGGTTTGTCCGGTGTATGAACGGATCTAGAACCTGTCACGCTGACTGCTGTTGACACGTGACTGACGAACTGACATCAATACGCCGTCACGTGACTGACTGACAGCACACATCAGCACTGACTGACAGGCTGACATCAGCACGCGGTCACGTCACTGACGTCAGAACGCTGACTCCGTCCGGCCGCGGCCGACCTTGGAGGAGAGTTCCGCAGTCCAGGGCAGCACGCTATTCCGACATAACATTCACGTGGCGCTACAACTTAACAAGGGTGACTCATCAACCCATTCAACCATAGGGTTAAACGCAGCAGGGCAACGGACGAGCGCACGTGAAATTTGCGAAGTATCTTTACCAGGAACGTGTTGAAGGTTAACGGTTTCCTTAGAACTGCCAACAACGCTTATGTCATGGAAACGAACACGCTTAACTCGAGTCATGGAAGCTTTGTCGGTAGGTATCACGTAAAAGCTCAGTCCCTTTTCATACAGCATAGCTCCACGCCGCGTCTGCCAGTCGATCCCTCGCCGCGCTCACGTTGTGCGTCTGTCCCTATCCGTCTTCCTGTTTGAGCAGGCGGGGGAGCAGGGCTGTATTACCGTGTGCGGGCGGCGAAATGAAATTATAGCCCGGTAATGACGGGCTGTGCCGGACCCTGCCGCTCGACCGCCGCCGCCGCGCAGGGCCGCCGCGGGCTCGGTCATTGCCGTTTCCGGCGGCAGCGGAGGTGGGCATGGCGGGTTACGTACGCAGGCACCTGGCTGCTGAATAACTGGGGACTGCGCGGGGGACGCCAGCACGTGGCGGGGACGCCGGACGCCGGCACGTGTGGACGCAGGGACGCACCAAAAGGGGACGCTCGGGAGACGGTATGCAGGATTAGGGTTTACGATTTGACGAGCTTCCCGATCCGGTGGTATGCAATTTAATGCTGGTCTGACGAGGTGCACGGGGCATGGACAAGGTAGAAAAGCTAGACAGAAACATTTTTAGGATTATTTCCCAGAGTGCTGCAGTTAAAATGGACAAAATTGGTCTTGTCTCTGAAACACTAAAAAGTGACATTTGTGGGAGCGAAACTATTCCACTCAGTGTTCTGAGGTCGAATCACGCGCTGAGAAATTATCTGGAACAATATGTAAATAGACCAGATGGTCTACGGGAAGTTGGGGCAATGCCGGAGTTGGGGCAAAGCCGAAATTCGAGATATTTCGAAAACCGTAAGACATGGATGCCACCTGTCAGTGATGCTCTGAAGCTTAAGTGACTACAATTATTGCATGTTTGTTACGAGTCGTCATTCGGAATACTTCGGCTGTGAGGGCGCCAAGAGCGTTTTCAAGGTACGCGTTCCTTGTACTACATGCGCCTTTGAAGCTGCATTTCTTACTCATTATGCTACCGTTTGTCTGGCCAATTCGGTCAAGTAATCTTCAGCATGTCTTTGCATAAGTGTGCTGCCTATTTGAAATTTATACGGCACGTTGAAAAGTTATGGGCCTGCAAATGAAAGTATGGCTGGCTGGGGTAATGCCGAAAACGTGCAATTACGCACGTTAAAGCACGCTACGTGGACTTTACTGCTGTAGAATAGCAACGCGAATTTTTAGTCACACAAATTACACTTTCAACCGACACAACGGCCTGTCACCTATAAGGAATTATTTACCTGGCATTTTCTTATTATATCACACAATTATAACTTCCAGTGTGCACCAAGCGTCCTCAAGCTCTTAAAACGCGTGTCAGCTTTGATAAATTCTGGATAAAGTTTGAGATAAAGTGGCAAAACATTAATGTCGGCATTCCCCGTAGATCATTTCTCCCATTTTCGGCTTTCCCCGCAGTCCGGGGCAACGCCGAAAAAGTCACTTCTTTGATATTTTTAGTTTGTGCGCTTAACGGTATGCGAATTCATCAAATGCGCCTGGTATGTTTGAAAGGCAAAAGACTGGCCTCTCGAATGACGCCAACAAGAATAGCTTATGTTGTCTACCTTGCGTGCTACGGGCGTCAGAAAGAAAGTATTCGGCGTTCCCCCAACTTCCCCTATTGTCTTTCATGTGTTCCACGGACCACGGAAATAACAAAGACAGTTTCCACGAAAACCATTTGTACCTACGGGCTTTGTGAACGACCGGAGACACTGGATTTGACGGCCACTACTGTGGCTTGTCTGCCTTGGCCATCGTCTGAATGGTTATAGAGAAACGAAACGTGAAAACGGCCTGTCGTGACACAGTAGTAAGTTCGCTGAATCGTCCCTTGATATCCCACCGTCCGTTTTTCAGACGAACAACAGCAGCCCCAAGCAGCAGTGGGAGCAGATTACAGTTCCGGCGCCGGCCAAAGAGGGCAGCACGGTCGTGTACTCACACCTGCATGAGCTCAGGAACCTGGCGCCGGCCACCGCCTACGAGGCCGTCGTCACGGCCAAGAACAAATACGGCTGGAGCGAGGAGCCCAGCCGGCCATTCAAGCTCTATACACTCGGCGCACGTGAGTTGGGGGAGGTGGAGAGGCCAGATGGGCTGCGGCGCGCTGGCGGGTAGTGCGAGGGGCGCCACCACTCATGATGCTTTCCGTGGGTCAGGCTGCCTGTATTAGAATATATTTTTTTTTTAAATTATTTTTTTATAAATTTAGTCCGAATGGTTGAATGGGTGGATTTTAAGGAATCAGAGCCGGCACTAAGCATAGCTTGTTGTGCTGACCCTGACCCCACCACCCGATCGCGCAATTCCAGTTGTATGGCAGAATTTTGTCCGAACGTTTAACGTGCCCTCACGACTGGACACGGCCCCCTCCGCTCACTCACGTTACCTGGCTTCTGTGCGGCCCCTGCCACAGACACGCACACCATTACACGTAGGAGCTAAATGTGGCCGCCCGCACCGGGGCTTGAACCGGGCTCTCACTACCGGCGAAGCGTCGGATTCCGGCGCTTTAATCCACTCGGCCACGGAGAATAACAGAACCACTATTTCAGGGAAGCTAGGGTAGGAGTAAATCGCTACAGACAATCACTTCAGGTGTCCAAGAGAACTGGTTCAATTTTCTTATCGGCCTGAGATGTCTCAAGTGCCGCCCCATCTTGTGCCACTGTGGCGGGTGCTGACGCCGGGGCTGGTGCGCCTTTCAGACTACACCGCTGCAGATCTGGTCGGAGGCGGTAAGGACCCCGGCCGGACCGCCGGCCCTCCGGCTGCATGTGGGGTGTGCTGTGACTCTAACGCTCCGCAGAGTAGCAGAGGCGCGCCCAACTGACCCCCTCCGCAGGACCTGGCCAACTCTGGGCGCCGGGCGTCGGACGTAGAGACTCCGGCAGCACCGGGAGTAGTGGTGTTTATGAACTGAAAGAGGCGGATATTGGCTGGTGGGCTGGTGGTTTCATTCTGTCTCTTTTTCCTTTTTGTAGTAAAATTTCCATGACAATAAAAACAGTCAACCAAACCAAACTCATTTCAAACTAAAAGCCAGACGCAGTGATATATCGTCAAAAAGACGTAAAATAACCATTCCTGAGACAAGAACGTCACAAGCCGTACCAGCTTTGCCATCAATACGAATAACCATCGTAGTGCCTCTGTAGTGATAACACTCGAGCAGCATCTGATATGGTGATGGTTCTCTGATCTGACATACCTAACCCCGTGTGCGGTGTTCGGGCGTGTTCTCTCTTCAGTAGAGGTTCGAGTGCGGCTGTCTGACGGTCCATAGCCTCTGCATGTCTGCCAGGGCCCCGGCTGGCCCGGATGGAGGCTAAACTGCGTCTCTGGGATGTGTGTGGATCGGACAGCAGTTAGATACACTAACTAACCTCTCGCCCGGTGCGTTCTCGGGTTCGACAGGTCGAGCGCGCATGCTGGTGGATGGAGATTGTGGTTGGGCAGAGATGTGTTTGCAAGTGCGTGTTCCAGCTTGTGGACATATCGGGTTTCTTTCTTTCTAAAAAAAAAATCCCACTGGCCATTGTACCAAACCTTATGAAATCAACAAGGATGCTAGCGTGCCTTGGAAACAACAATTCAACAATCAATGACATCTAAAATGATAAGCCGGCCCAAACATTTACAGACGGGTATCGTCTAGCCCCGGTCGGTGTCTGAGGGGCGCGCTGGAGAGGCCCCCCCCCTCTGACCCGCCTGTACCGCTGAACAGCCGCCGCCCGCGCGCTCCCCTATCGTCTGTCTGACGTTGTCGCTCCGTTTCCAGAGGCGCTCGGGTCGACCGACCCCAACAGCGCGGTGTCGACACGGAGTGGCGCGCTGACGGCGGTCACGGCGCTCCTCTGCGCGCTGCTCGCCGTCTTGTGAACGGTCCCACCGCACCCATAGGTGAGTGGGTACCAGGGGTTCCAACGCACCCATAGGTGAGAGGGTACCAGGGGTTCCAACGCACCCATAGGTGAGTGGGCACCGGGGGTCCCGCCGCACCCATAGGTGAGTGGGTACCGGGGGTCCCACAGCACCCATAGGTGAGAGACAGTGACTGGTGCGTGGTCTCCGCCCCCGATCCTCCATGGAAGCCAGTTGGCTAAGAGTGTCTATTTCTTGAGCGGTTGTTTTCATTGAAGCATGGATGAGATAATAATGGATTGGTGTCTTCGCAGTTTTTGGCGACATTGAGCTCAGGCCTGCCATCTAGCGGGAGAATTATCGTAAGTTAGGAGCAAGCCGAGTGAACGCCGCTGATTAGCATTGTGACACACGGGGGTGTGGTGTAGTAGCAGGCTTGTTGTGCAATTTTTCAAAAGGTTATGTCTTTATATGTCAGTAAAAGCGAAGAAATTAATAGATTTATGTGCAGGGTCAGTAATAAGATAAGCAGTTTCATGTTATTTCCTCATTAAATCGTGAAACAGGGAGTTATTGGAGACTTCGCCAGCACGTGAAGTTTTCGCTATTTTTCACATGAGTCTTTACTTGGCCTAAATCAAACAAATTGTCCGATCAAAGAACAAAACGAACGTTAAGTACTATCTATAAGTCTTATGAAAAAGTTTAACGGAATTGCTAACGTCATTGCCGCTCAATAGTGTCATTCAAGACGCTCTATGAAAAGGACCCAACCAGTGCTGCGTAGTCGATGAAATTTCAGTGACTTTGGCTCCAACTCCGATTCCGGTATCCAAATATCGACTCCGACTCCTCCGGGCAGAACTGTAGAGTTCTGCACGGCTGCAATTTTCCACAGCCTAGCCGCCCCGCAGCCGTGGCTCCACAGCCACAGCCGCCCACAGCCGTGTCAAACTGTGGGCAGCCAGCCGTCAGCCGGCCGTGGATACTTTCAATGAAATGCAACCAAATAGTATATAATAAGTTGTTTTTAGTTCAAACATATAGCCAAAAGCGCATTGCAATGGGCTATAGTTTCTCAAGCTCATGAAGCATCATAGGTTAAGTGGTTGTGTATCTGGCTTTAGGCCGAAGGCCTGAAGCCTGATGCGCATCGCATGCCTACACAAGCCCTTGCAAGGGGTTAAGAAAGATGGGTAGGTAGGTACCTACATCAACAGAAAACATACACAACGAACCAGAATAGAAGCACTAGCAGTGTAGACATCTAATGCCAAATCCTGAAGCATGGTTGTGGGACAGAACAACAGACCCTGATGCTTTTCATTATCAATGTTAGGTATGGAAAATGAAACTGAAGTTGATGGACATTGGACTGTCAAACAGTGATAGTCTAGTCAAAACTCTTGCTTCTTTCTTACCTTGCATATTTTCTGGGGTGTGATATGCCAGGCTTGAAGCAGCCTTCTGAGCAAGTCTCAAACTATTTTGATATGCAAGGCATCAAAACACTACCGAGCATCCAAGAAAGAAAAACGTTCATCTATTTTGATTTTTCCAAATAATGATCTTCGCTCAAATCCCCAAGGACGTGCGAGCCACAATTGCCTCTTTCAATCAAGAATTTAATGGAGTTTTTAATGACGTCAATAGCAAAGAAGTGGCAATAAATTGTTTTTTGTCACTATAAACAGCCATAAAAATAATAATTATTAAATAATAATGCTATATAGTTAAAACATTGCTCTCAAACAACGGTTAGGCATCAAATTTAAACATTTTCAGAAGAAGACGTCATTTTTTTAGTAAAGTCAACAGCTCGTGTAAGAAATATTGTGTTCAGGGTTTTCACCGTCATGTGAATTACGTGTTCAAGGTTTTCACCATCATGTGAATTAACTGTAAGTAAGGTTCATGCTCACTTATAATCTAATTCCATTGGCTCCGTTGATCAGCATTTTCTGTTAGCGGTCACTCACACACCAGTTAGAACATAAAGCGCCAGTTTTATATTATGTAATCTTGCCGAAAATCCAGAATTACTTCTAAGAGTTATTTTAGATAATATTTTATGAAGCCTTTACCTGCCTTTACCTAGGTGTGATTTCTTTTTCTATTACCTGAAAGAATTATTGAACGCTCGTCTTCAATAGCTGTAAGTAAGGTGCTTTCCTAATGACCAGGTGAGATTGATTTGAGAGGGATGTGACAATGCAGCATGTTGCATTTTCTGAAACTGTCAAGCTCTTGATGATGAAGGAACAATTGGTACCTATAATTAGTATTCTGTACCAGAGTGCAAACTCCCCTACAGCAAATGGTAAAACCATTACAGGTTTTCAAAGGCTTCACCACTTTCAATGTTGCTGGGCATCCTTTGCATGATTTTTACAGGCTAGACTGCTTATTAGAATGTAAGATTAAGGATTTAAAATTTTATATTTTAGTACTTAAGATTGAGCTGGAAATCTCACAGCCGTGGCCACAGCCGTAGCCGTGTTCTTGGAGATATTTGCAGCCGCCCCGGCCCACAGCCGTGGGGCTGCAGCCAGCCACGGCTGCAGCCGGCCGGTGCAGACCTCTACAGAACTGTCAATTCACACAGACTCCGACTCTGACTCCGACTCTGCAGCCCTGGTAAGTCTGTGGAGTCGATGACTTTTCGGTGACGTTTGACTCGTACTCCGACTACAGCTTTTAAAAATCAACCGACTCTGAGTCGGAACTGAACCGCTGGCTCTGACTACAACTCCGCAGCCCTGGCCTAAGATAGCCGCCTAAAAAAACTTTGATGTGTGATCTTCTTCGTACATTGTTAATGTTATTTTAAACAAGGGGTGGAAAAGGGAGACGAAGCCTTCACAAACAAGGATCTCCTGTTGCGTATCAATCAGCTGCTGGAACAGCAAGGCATAAACACCACGCATCTCATTTCATCGTTTTCCTAACGACTCTGCACCAGCGTAAGCACTGATCAATGCAGTGCGAGCATCGATGTGACATTTGTGTACCAAGTTTGAGTGCTATCCGCCCAGTCGCTCTTGAGATATGGAAGCGGCACCCCGCACGTGCGCACGTGCGGTAGCACCCTCATGTGACACATGGAAATGCATTGGCCACTGGGTGCCTAACTATTGACGAAGTTTCACTGTAATGGGCCCAGCCATTGCGGAGTTACTTTATGTGGAACAATTTCGACACCCCTAAGTTGGCACGTGGCACGTGCCGTAACAATTAACTAAGATGAAGAAAAGCAAGCGAAATTCGGAGAAGAAGGAATAAGCCTACCAAATATGTATGACATATTGTCAAACTGCTGTACCATTGTGAGTAAATGACCATTGAAAAGGTCGTACAAGCCGATGGGACTGGGCGTTTCAATACACACCGTCTTACGCATTTTATCTTCGTTATTACCTAAATGCTCCTTGACATTTTTGGCTTGCAAGCATTTAAGACATTTTTTATCGTCTCAAGTCCAGTAAGATTGCCTCCAACTCGTGGGAATATGCACTGTAAGCCAACTAACACACCACACCCACGTGTGTCATAATGCTGAGAGATGGCGTTCACTCGGCTTGCTCCTAACTTACGATAATTCTCTCGCTAGATGGCAGGCCTGATCCCAATGTCGCGGATCCCAATGTTAATTTCCACGAGACACCAATCCAGTGTTATATCATCCATGATTGAAGCAAGCAATGCAGGGTAGATGTCAAAATTGTGATCAATCGTAAATTAGCTGTTCACTAGAAAACATGTTCCTTCATCTTCCCTAGCTTCTTCCTCACTGCAAGTATTTGCGATCTGTCGTTCCCCAAACTGTTGAACCTTGAGACCAGCAGCCGAGAGTGAGCCTAGCATAGCACAGCACCGTAGCACGACTTTAGCGCCACCTCCTCACCACGCGCTCTGTTACAGGTTACGCTTTCACTTGCGCCAGCGCCCGTCGGAGTCAGCAGTCCCACGGGCCGGCTTCGGCTTCGGGTCCGCGGCGGCGCGAGTCCAGAGCCAGAGCCGACTAGTCCAGCGCGGGATCGAGCGTCCGGCGCGGTCGCCAAGTGCGACAGAGCCGCTGACGCGGATGAAACAGCCGCCAGCGCCGCTACAGAGGGAGACTGCGACCCAGAGCGAGACTCTACGCCCGAAACCGGCAGAGTGAGGCTCTGCGACCCAGAGCGAGACTCTACGCCCGAAACCGGCAGAGTCCCGAGCGGCGCGGCGTGTTTCAGAGCCGCTGGACGGTCTCAGCGGTCGGTGCAGAGTGCTAATGAACAGTCAGTCCAGACTGACGTCCGGCCCGCGGCTGAGGTCTGACGCCCAGTCGCCGAGACGGTACGAACTCGACGTCACAATAGTCTCGAACGGGCCGAGCGCCGCCGAATTTCGCCGCCAGGGGCGCTAGTGTCGCGCGCACGGCGAGGACCGAGTGGCCCGAGTGAAACCCGCTACAAATGTGGAACGTCTGTGCGCTATGTTTGTGCGTGTGTGTGTGTTGGTGTACGTGAGCGCATGCGTGCATATGGTGGTGATACGTGGTGCCTGCGACGCAGACGCGTCCGGCCGCTTTGTGTCAAAATTATTCGCTTCGCTTCGCGGTGGTTGACGAGGCGGCAGTGCCGTGCTGACGAGTGACGGACGCGCCACGGACAGACAGGTGGCGACATAACGGGCAGCTGCACGGACCTACTGCCGGGGGACGGCCACGGAGCGCGCTGAACTGGGGCCGCCCGGCCAGCGCCGCGCCCGCAGAGCCTATTTATGCAACCATCCGGGCCAGCTAGTACATGATGTAGCTCTGTTATGTTCCTTATGTTTGCTTTAAGCAATACTGTACTTTGATTTTTGAAAATAAAGATTCCTGAGCTGTTTCGAGTGAAACCGCCTGGTTACTGACCTCATGTCATCCATTACAAATAGCAGCGGATATGCTGTCACCGAAAATGACTTTGTGTATCAAAATAAGTTATATTGTTTGACAAAAAGTACACATGACAATGGCACGATCGCTCCCTCAGTAGTGAACCACCCTCCCGCTCGGCCAGCTCCCAGCGCGGCGCGGCGCGGCACATCAGCTGACCTCTGGCGGCTCTCCTGCCGGGAGTTCCGGCCCGTCCGGCGGCGGCGCGGCCCGCAGCAGGGCGTCCAGCCGCTGCAGCACCAGCTCGTTGGCGCAGACGCACTGGTCGGCCGTGTACGGCGCGTGCAGCGTGGCCACGCCGGCCACCGTCACGTGATCGGCGCCCACCTCCACCGGCAGACGGTGGCGCCGCAGCCAGCCGACCACGTGATCACGCCGGGCGCGCAGTGCGCCGGCCGAGAGCGCGCTCTGCTCCACCTGGGCGGGGGTGGGGAGGGGAGTCAGTCACGTGCGGTCGTCAGAGCGCTGACCGCATCACGAAGACGACACTGGTGGTCACCGGAATTTTATAAAAGACAACCGACAGGACACGGAATCAGTGAATTTGTCAATGCGGCTAACCGAAGCTTAGTTTACGGAAAAATCGTTGCCCATAATAACCAATGTTTTTCCTTTAGTGATGTTGCTTTTATGTTTTCTACTTCTAGGACTAGGTAGTAGTTTACGGTAAACCAGACTCGGTGAGGGGCGGAGCGGCCGCGGTATACCGTACCGTCTGGGTGCGGAGCAGGGAGTCCATGGCCCGGCGGGTCCGCTCGTCACACTCTGCGCTGATTGTGCGAGAGGCCGTCACACCGTGACCGAACACCAGCTCCACGGTGGGGCTGCGGGCCTCCAGACCACTGACCAGCACCCAGCTGAAACACACGCCACAACCGGTCAGAAGCAGAGCCAGACGTCAGGTCAGGTCAGGGTCATTGTAAACTGTCGAACACTGGAGGTAAATTGAAAACTAAGCTCAAAACATTCCTGCAATATTCAGACCTAATTAAACAAGTCATGCTCATGTCAGCACTCAGCTGTCAATGCAGCTGCATCATGCACATGGCCACAAGAAGTAAGCAGATGCTGTTGTACAGACTCACCTTTCTGAGACAGGGTCAATGGTCAAAACCCTGCCATTGTGAACACGGCCATCACAAGTAGTCAGCTCAACTTCCCTGTACAGCATACTCTGCAGTTTAATTGGGTCATTTTTGAATACTGGGTGATCATCAAGCTCTTCAACAGTGGTCATACTGTTCTGATAGCCTGTAACAAACATGAGAAGTGTTGAATAAATGAATTTATGTTTCTTTCCAAATTGTATCAATTTGTTCTCTCAGTTAAGTGAATAATTTCAGGTCAAAACTGATCTGTGTGCCAGGATTATAAATCAATGAAAATTAGCATTTTCTAAAACAGCTCGGCAAAAAAGGACAAGCAGGCACAAACAGTCATATGCCAGATACCTCAACCTGATAATTGAATATTGGTCAAGTTAGTTTTTCCCATATAATGACTGTATATTGATAATATTACCATATACAGAAGTTCACTGTTATTGTTGGATGTTGGCGTTTCTTCGGTTCTTATCGCAACACACAGTACCTACCACTACATCAGTAGGCGGAACTATGGTCAAGCGTACCCATTTTCGGGAACGCATTTTCGTTCCCATGTTTGGGAACGATAAACCCAAATATGGGAACGCCATGTAGGAATTATTTAAAACAAGAAAAAGAACCGTTAAATGACGTCCAAAAAATATAAAACGATCGTGAACCGCCTGATATTTGTCTCAATATTGTTGGGAAAGAGTTTGATATTGTAAGGCCCATCGTAGTTTCAAATCGTTCCCCTATTTCTAAAGCAGTCCATCATCCGGGCCGCGAACCCAAATTTGGGAACGCTCTCGTACACTGGCGCTGCAAGCGTTCCTTATTATGGGAACGGCGTACCCAAAATTGGGAACGATTTCACCGACGCCTTTCAGGGGCTCTTTTCATTAACAAGCATCATGTCCAACGCCGCAAATTATTGTTAAGCAACAATCATCAGATGACCTTTCCGGCAAGACCGTCGCATGTTTCGCCCGGTCTTCTGCGCTTTTATTCCCGTCGATCTCGCAGCGGGCACGCCCCCCTCTGCAGGATTACGTAATTCACAACGCTCAGCGATGTTCAACAAGGTCTTCCATACCTATATCCACCGTCCGCGCCGAGGGTGGAGACATGTCAAGCACCTGTCTGTTTATCACCGATAGTTGACGAGCACAAGGAAGTATCCAAAAATGGGAACGCTGAATATGTTACACCCTCAAAACACCTAGTCCCATGGAAAATCTAGTTTTTTCCTTTCTTAATGAGTGTAAGTGGCAAAAGGCCTGGTAGGATGGGCACGAGAAATGATCGAAATCAGCATAAAAATTATAAATAAGCCACACAGAGCGACCTATATAAGAGAAATTCCCCCAAAACGATCATGCTTAGAAACACGGAAGACAAAAACCACGCTCATGACGCTCCTTATAAAACAATGCTAAACAGCTAGCATCCAAATAAAATATGTCTTTCCGGGCTGATAAAATACAGCTGAATAATTTTAAACCACTGAAACTGAGTTTACAACAGTAGTTCGGTAAAATCACTGACGTTCCACGCGGTCGTGCGCCCCGAGACCAAAAGTCAACAATATTACCTCGGGACTGTCCGCGTGTTCGCTTGCATATGTCAGCATCTGGTGTCGCTAGTATGAAACTTCATAACCAGGCGAAAATTATTATACTTGACCTCAAAATGTAAAAAACGCTTCATTTTCCTTTAAATTGCATGTTAAATGTAGTATAACCCATGTTTTCACCATTCCGTCATTTCAAAAAAATCATTAAAAATATCATTCGACGGTCAATTTCCTTGTTCAACGGTCAGATTAAAGATAATTTTATAGAGATTCAGTAGATACTTAAATTAGCGTGCACTTTTTTGAGACGTGATGCACTAATGAGTTTTAGTGGGCGAATGGCCGAAAAATTACCTTCCGTTCCCGTAAATGGGAACGCCCGTTCCCATATTTGGGAACTCCGTTCCCAAAAATGGGAACGTTCCTATATTTGGGTACTCATGACCATAGTTCCACCTACTGACATGTGAATTTGACCAATCAGATGGCAGGCATGCTCCTGCTCATAAAAACAGAGACCGAGCCACCTCAAACTGCTGCATTCACGCAAAATATGTTTAATTACAATGCTGTTCTTATATCTGCATGCTTAAGCTGGTACATGCTGATATTACACCAAAGTAAAAGGCCAAGGTTGTTGAGGTCTCAACCTCTAATTAAACTCCAGTCATGAGTCAGCACTAACATCCAGGACAATGAATCAAATTGATATCAAAATGTGAATGAGCATGGTGGTTGCTTCCAGAAAAAAACAGCCTTTAACAATTGAACATACCTATTTAAAAACAAAAATCCAGCTTTTTCAGGCCAATTTTTTTGCAATCCAGGCAGCAATGATAAAATTGTGGCATCTTAACCAAGCATGAAGATCACGCTTTTAGGTAGGTGCCCACAATTTGAATTGCAATAAGCTTCGATCCTGCTGTGGTTTAGCTTCTCATTCTGTGGTCTCGTCTCCGCACTCGCTCGTTCAGTTTCCGGATATCTGTAAGCCTTCTGTTACTTTTTAAAATCGTTTGCCTTTGGCATCAAAAAAAAATTTAAATGAAAATGCATAAATAAACAACCACTAAAAATGTAACGGAAGTTGGCACAGATTCAGCACAGATTCAGCACAGCACAGATTCGGTAGGGGGAAAAAAGGCCCCGGTAGAGGGAAACCTTTATGACCCGTTTTCCCCTAGAAATGACGTCACAAAGAGGTAAAAATGGGTATCAATCGAAAGCTCTCGTTTACCCAGACACAGTCCTGCAGGAAAATTCCACTTTTTCCCCATAGGAAAGTTTTTACGGAAAAATCAAAATTTCGGGTCAATGGGGGGTCCCCCCCGATTTCGTTCAAAATCGGCACACAGGTGCCCCACCACCAGCCGAGAAACTTTCCCCAAAACGGTCCCCGTTGCATTGACGTTTAAGGCCCTTAAAGCCCCGTAAACTCGTAAAAAATCCGTAAATTCGCCCTTGTACGGCCAAAAACGGGGCGCTAGGGTAAAAATGGGTATCAATCGAAAGCTCTCGTTTACCCAGACACAGTCCTGCAGGAAAATTCCACTTTTTCCCCATAGGAAAGTTTTTACGGGAAAATCAAAATTTTGGGTCAATGGGGGGTCCCCCCCGATTTCGTTCAAAATCGGCACACAGGTGCCCCACCACCAGCCGAGAAACTTTCCCCAAAACGGTCCCCGTTGCATTGACGTTTAAGGCCCGTAAAGCCCCCTAGACTCGTAAAATATCCGTAAATTCGCCCTTGTACGGCCAAAAACGGGGCGCTAGGGTAAAAATGGGTATCAATCGAAAGCTCTCGTTTACCCAGATACGGTCCTGCAGGAAAATTCCACTTTTTCCCCATAGGAAAGTTTTTACGGAAAAATCAAAATTTTGGGTCAATGGGGGGTCCCCCCCGATTTCGTTCAAAATCGGCACACAGGTGCCCCACCACCAGCCGAGAAACTTTCCCCAAAACGGTCCCCGTTGCATTGACGTTTAAGGCCCTTAAAGCCCCGTAAACTCGTAAAAAATCCGTAAATTCGCCCTTGTACGGCCAAAAACGGGGCGCTAGGGTAAAAATGGGTATCAATCGAAAGGTCTCGTTTACCCAGACACAGTCCTGCAGGAAAATTCCACTTTTTCCCCATAGGAAAGTTTTTACGGGAAAATCAAAATTTTGGGTCAATAAGGGGTCCCCCCCGATTTCGTTCAAAATTGGCACACAGGTGCCCCACCACCAGCCGAGAAACTTTCCCCAAAACGGTCCCCGTTGCATTGACGTTTAAGGCCCGTAAAGCCCCCTAGACTCGTAAAATATCCGTAAATTCGCCCTTGTACGGCCAAAAACGGGGCGCTAGGGTAAAAATGGGTATCAATCGAAAGCTCTCGTTTACCCAGATACAGTCCTGCAGGAAAATTCCACTTTTTCCCCATAGGAAAGTTTTTACAGAAAAATCAAAATTTTGGGTCAATGGGGGGTCCCCCCCGATTTCGTTCAAAATCGGCACACAGGTGCCCCACCACCAGCCGAGAAACTTTCCCCAAAACGGTCCCCGTTGCATTGACGTTTAAGGCCCTTGAAGCCCCGTAAACTCGTAAAAAATCCGTAAATTCGCCCTTGTACGGCCAAAAACGGGGCGCTAGGGTAAAAATGGGTATCAATCGAAAGCTCTCGTTTACCCAGACACAGTCCTGCAGGAAAATTCCACTTTTTCCCCATAGGAAAGTTTTTACGGAAAAATCAAAATTTCGGGTCAATGGGGGGTCCCCCCCGATTTCGTTCAAAATCGGCACACAGGTGCCCCACCACCAGCCGAGAAACTTTCCCCAAAACGGTCCCCGTTGCATTGACGTTTAAGGCCCTTAAAGCCCCGTAAACTCGTAAAAAATCCGTAAATTCGCCCTTGTACGGCCAAAAACGGGGCGCTAGGGTAAAAATGGGTATCAATCGAAAGCTCTCGTTTACCCAGACACAGTCCTGCAGGAAAATTCCACTTTTTCCCCATAGGAAAGTTTTTACGGGAAAATCAAAATTTTGGGTCAATGGGGGGTCCCCCCCCCGATTTCGTTCAAAATCGGCACACAGGTGCCCCACCACCAGCCGAGAAACTTTCCCCAAAACGGTCCCCGTTGCATTGACGTTTAAGGCCCGTAAAGCCCCCTAGACTCGTAAAATATCCGTAAATTCGCCCTTGTACGGCCAAAAACGGGGCGCTAGGGTAAAAATGGGTATCAATCGAAAGCTCTCGTTTACCCAGATACAGTCCTGCAGGAAAATTCCACTTTTCCCCCATAGGAAAGTTTTTACGGAAAAATCAAAATTTTGGGTCAATGGGGGGTCCCCCCCGATTTCGTTCAAAATCGGCACACAGGTGCCCCACCACCAGCCGAGAAACTTTCCCCAAAACGGTCCCCGTTGCATTGACGTTTAAGGCCCTTGAAGCCCCGTAAACTCGTAAAAAATCCGTAAATTCGCCCTTGTACGGCCAAAAACGGGGCGCTAGGGTAAAAATGGGTATCAATCGAAAGCTCTCGTTTACCCAGACACAGTCCTGCAGGAAAATTCCACTTTTTCCCCATAGGAAAGTTTTTACGGAAAAATCAAAATTTCGGGTCAATGGGGGGTCCCCCCCGATTTCGTTCAAAATCGGCACACAGGTGCCCCACCACCAGCCGAGAAACTTTCCCCAAAACGGTCCCCGTTGCATTGACGTTTAAGGCCCTTAAAGCCCCGTAAACTCGTAAAAAATCCGTAAATTCGCCCTTGTACGGCCAAAAACGGGGCGCTAGGGTAAAAATGGGTATCAATCGAAAGCTCTCGTTTACCCAGACACAGTCCTGCAGGAAAATTCCACTTTTTCCCCATAGGAAAGTTTTTACGGGAAAATCAAAATTTTGGGTCAATGGGGGGTCCCCCCCGATTTCGTTCAAAATCGGCACACAGGTGCCCCACCACCAGCCGAGAAACTTTCCCCAAAACGGTCCCCGTTGCATTGACGTTTAAGGCCCGTAAAGCCCCCTAGACTCGTAAAATATCCGTAAATTCGCCCTTGTACGGCCAAAAACGGGGCGCTAGGGTAAAAATGGGTATCAATCGAAAGCTCTCGTTTACCCAGATACAGTCCTGCAGGAAAATTCCACTTTTCCCCCATAGGAAAGTTTTTACGGAAAAATCAAAATTTTGGGTCAATGGGGGGTCCCCCCCGATTTCGTTCAAAATCGGCACACAGGTGCCCCACCACCAGCCGAGAAACTTTCCCCAAAACGGTCCCCGTTGCATTGACGTTTAAGGCCCTTGAAGCCCCGTAAACTCGTAAAAAATCCGTAAATTCGCCCTTGTACGGACAAAAAGTGGTGCTATGGTAAAAATGGGTATCAATCGAAAGCTCTCGTTTACCCAGACACAGTCCTGCAGGAAAATTCCACTTTTTTCCCATAGGAAAGTTTTTACGGGAAAATCAAAATTTTGGGTCAATGGGGGGTCCCCCCCGATTTCGTTCAAAATCGGCACACAGGTGCCCCACCACCAGCCGAGAAACTTTCCCCAAAACGGTCCCCGTTGCATTGACGTTTAAGGCCCGTAAAGCCCCCTAGACTCGTAAAATATCCGTAAAATCGCCTTTGTACGGACAAAAAAGTGGTGCTATGGTAAAAATGGGTATCAATCGAAAGCTCTCGTTTACCCAGACACAGTCCTGCAGGAAAATTCCACTTTTTTCCCATAGGAAAGTTTTTACGGGAAAATCAAAATTTTGGGTCAATGGGGGGTCCCCCCCGATTTCGTTCAAAATCGGCACACAGGTGCTTCACCACCAGCCGAGAAACTTTCCCCAAAACGGTCCCCGTTGCATTGACGTTTAAGGCCCTTAAAGCCCCGTAAACTCGTAAAAAATCCGTAAATTCGCCCTTGTACGGCCAAAAACGGGGCGCTAGGGTAAAAATGGGTATCACTCGAAAGCTCTCATTTACCCAGACACAGTCCTGCAGGAAAATTC